ATATATATATATATATATATATATATATATATATATATATATAATGCTAACAAATCCAGTTATTTATCATTATTAATGCTTATGTTAGTATTTTCTTTAGGCATAGCATGATCCATTGAACAGCACAAGGGGCAGAAACAGAAGAGCAGAATTTAATCAGTTATTAAATAATTTGGGATTTCACATTACTATGAAGCTTATTAGCAACAAGCTTCACACTTTTATTTGTTGTATTTTTAAGCATTTTTCTGCTCATGTATCATTTAATCTCTATTTACTATCTACTATTTTGTGTGTATGACATAACATTTCAATAAGAAGCTCTAAGGGATGCCAATACTCCTACAATATAACGTGTTGAACTGTGTGTAAAGTAGTTGGTATGTGTGTTCTGCCCTCTAGTGGCTGCTTGGTGCTCTGTCTGTGCTTGTCTGTGATCACCCTGCTTCTCCAGAGCCTCTGGGTGCCTCTTGAAATGACCAGAAGTGAAGCTGCTGGGAAATCGCCTGACGAACAGAGTAACCCATCTTCTGCCCACACACATACACACATAAAATGCACCATGTCTTGACTGCAATATTCAGCACTTTCTATACCCTAACGCTGACAATAACCCTGATCCTGACCTTTACCCAAACAAAGCAATTTGCAAACAACTGACTGAAAACCAGCAATTTTTTTCCATTTTGGTGCAACCAGGCCTCAATTTGATGGTAAAATCATTAAAATAGTCCTCACTGTGATACCAAAGCAAAGCATCGCCCCCCCACACACACACACTCTTACACACATGCCAAGTTCAGATTGAGCAGAAAATTTGCTTTGCAAGTTTTAAATATACGATAGGAAATGTTTGATGTATTTTTAAACAAAAAAGATTCAAATTATGCAAACACGCGAAAAGGGAACAGACATGTGGAGTGGTTAAGGATTAAAATCGGTTTTTCAAAGTGTTAGATGAAGATTTGTACACAGTTCGCGGTGGGTCCTTATGCTCATTTATCCTCCTTTGCCTGACATTTGTGGGTATGTGGTTGGCTTTAAACAAAAAAATGCTTTTTTTCTGGCTAAACTGTTTCTCCAAAGCATTTAGCGACGGATGAAATGCTTTTATAATGAAGAGCTTTCCTTTTACAGGAAAGTATTGATAAAATTAATGATTATAATGGGATGTCCATCCTGAATTATTGACATGTTCATTTTCTACCTGCTGTTACTGGGCAAAAAAAATAAAATTGTAAAGGTTTAAGAAGCTTATTTTTGTGTAAAGTACGCCTCCATATGTGGGTAAGCCATTTTGGAAATATTTAACATTAGATGGAACTACTGAAAAAAAAAAAAAAAAAATGTCTGTCTGAGAGACTAAAACATGGTGGCCACTAATGACTCGCAATTTCATCTCAGGAAATGATATTTGATCCAAACATTCCGGTGCTTTTCCGGTCATATTCAAAGAAAATAGTTTTTAAGAGACAGTAAAACCCACTGCTGCACTCCAGCCACAACAGATTTGTGCTTTGAGAGACCCACCACGACTTGTGTACAAAAAGGCTGTCAGAAATACGTTTGTTGGAGAGTTCAGGCCCCGATATGGGGAAAAAAACAGCTTGAGAAAACGCATCTATAAATGAACTCCATTTAGTCACCAGACACTTAGTGTTCATCCTGTTTTTGTGAGAAATTACAGACAGTTTTATTTCAACCTTTATTGTAAAATCGGCATCCTTAAAACAATTCTTTCTTTAATGCAACAACAGCTGTATTCAGAACATAAAAAAAAGTTTAACTTATTCATGAACTGACTTTTGAAGTCAATTGATCGTGCTTTGTCTAAATCTCAGGGTATGATAAGTAATGATATGGACGCAAATGTTTGTCTTTGTGCTTCTACAGCTTTTTTTTACCAAAATTAAACGACATTTTTTATTTTCCCTATTAATATTGCTGTTTGTGCTTAAGAATTTCAGTCAGATCGGAGCTCAAAAGTCAGCATTTGTTATACATAAAATTCATAAAATGATTGATATTGTTTTTGCATGATTTGGTTTTAATTGAAGGCTGGTTGACCTTGATGACCTATTGAAACATTTATCAATATAATTCAAATCATAGCATCACAGTTGGGGGCCAACAGGTGCTCATGCAGAGCAAACACCTTTAGTACCTTTTGTTGAAGAGATTGTTCATTTGCTTCAATCAGTAAGAAGGAGGGACCAATCCAGAGACATGTTTGCAGCAGTTTTTTGTTTTACTTACATAGAAAAAATATAGTTTTTCAATAATTCTGCCTTGTCATGGTGCAGAACTTTGCCCTGCTCTATCATATAAAATCCTGGGAAAATGTCATTTTTGCAGTAATGCCAAAAAAAAAAGGATGCTGTTGGGCTAAACTGCCATTTTGACAGTGCAAACTACAAACAATGAGTTGGATGTTGAATGGGAATGTATTTAGTTCAATGGTCAGCTTTTATCACATTTTTATCGTCATATGCTTTTATTCTGCTTTTATTTTCCTTAAAGTTTATTGTTTCATTCATGTGAAGCACTTTAGATTGCCCTTGCACAGTATTATGCTTTACAAACAAACATGCCTTGCCTTTTTTCTAGATATCTGTAAATATTAATGATTGGCTAAACAGAAATGTCAGCAGTGGATTTTTACACCTGCCCAAATTTTCCACGTCAGTGCATTCCTATGTAAGAGGATGCTGAAATTTACAAAAACAGACATTATTTTAATCACAATATTTTGATGGAAGATTAAAGATGCTAAAAGAATTCACAGTTTGTCTGTTCCTTTTATTTTAGGTGATGGTCTTCACAGGCTGGCTGTTCGATTGGAGGCCTTGAATACTCAGGTGCAAAAACTGAGCAGCAAGAGGGATAAGATGATGAACAGGAATGATCTTAGTTTACTGCTGCAGAGGTAGATCCCCTTTGTTGACATAAGATTGTGTTGTAAAGTGTTAATTTGGGTGCCGGGGAACACTATTGAGCAAATATAGAGAATATTGAGAAGCAGTAGTTTTTTTTTTCAAGGTTGGGGCTTCAGCTTTTTCAGTGACAAATCTCTAATTGTTTTTTATTAAATTATATTAATAAGAATATTGAGCATCATTCGTGATAGTCTCATTCGGGAGGCTGAAGGTCGTCCTGACTCAGCACAGCAGTCTGGAGTTGTGTTCTCTCCCACAATAAAATTCTCACTGTGGAAGAGTGCTTAACGTAGAAAAAATAAGTGCTGGTTTCTCTCCTAATGGGGACAATGGATTATTTCAATAAACTTGTATTGATGTATAGATCTTATTAAAAAGACCCAAAGGAAAAACTGTTCTAAATTAAATCTATATAAGCCAAGTTTCAAGTGTCATGCATTTTGATTAACTTTGAGCCTCATAGTGTTAATATATAAATAAAAACAAACAAAAAAAATAGCTGCATCTTATTTAGTGTACTTTATTTGTTTCCTAATTTCATTCCTACTTAACACAGGTAAAACACAGTTATCTTGTATAGAGGTTTATGCACCCTTATTGGTGAAAATTTGTTTTTTTCCTTCTTTAATCAGCTGTTTTCAGACCATAATAATTGAGAATGTATTTAGAAAATAAAGACAAAAAACCTGAGAAAATACTCTATTATTTCTTATATGCAGGTGGGGGTCAGCACACAGTGTTTGTGGGCCCCCATATGGATAGCTTTCCCACTCATCTTTAATCCTTTTATCAGAAAATATGTTGCAGACGTTTGAGCACGGTCTCTGTTAGATGCTGTATCTGACCTTTGTTTCCTTGTGTAGTGAAGGACTGTTAAGTGAGCTTCTGCTATGATTTAACTCAGCTCCAGTTTGTTAGGTTCCTTTTGAAGCCAGGTAAACACATAAACAGCTGAGATCGATTTCCTCACACATCAGCCACATGAATGTACAGCAAACATTTTGTGTCAAAGGAATTGGTTTCATGTGATGCCAACCCAGTCAGCTGTACAGTGTGAACTGCTGACCTACTTAAAGCACACTATGAACCCACGAAAGGTGAAGAAATATGAGCTCGGAACAGGAGCTAGGTTTTACAATTTGGGTATTGGGATGCACAAAGATTTTTGCAGCAAAGGAGCAACTTTCATATAGACCCACCATAAAGAAAAAATTATCCAGTTACAATGAACTGTTGTTTACTTTCTGGAACAGTGTAACTTTTGCTCACTGGCTAAAAAAAACAAAACAACCTCAATTAACTGACAAAGTTTGGATAACCAGAAACTAACAAACAAAAACAAAAATGAGAAATGAATTAAAAAGAGTCAATATTTTAAAGGTTGTTGTATTTTCTGATAAGGTTTTTTTTTTTTAAGTTTTTTAAATAAACTTGAAAAAACAAAAGTCAGAATTTTTTAAAACCTGAAATTGGAAAACATTTCCTGTGTGCCACTTTTATAAATATCAATCATATCTTTAGATCTGGACGTCTGTGTCTTCCAGCTTTCGACAAGACCAGCAGGAATTGGCCCGCCTGGTACAGCAGGAGCTGCAGAGAGTGTCTGAGCGACTCGATCAGCTCACTCTTCATCATCATCATCATCATCATCACCGCCATCACACTACCACTTTAACTCCACTGACTTACATGAGACCGTTAAATAGTAAATACAGTAAAGGTGAACGTTTAACACATTATTTAAGTTTGATTTATTACTTCTGCAGTTATTTTAGTTGGGGAAGATGATTCCCATCAGAATAAATAGCTATGTAAACAAGAACAATGGCAATTAACTTAATCAAAAGTCTTTTTACTGGCGTAAATGTAAAAGTATAAAACACTTAAACTTTTGATGCTCCACATGGAGCTGAGACGAAGGAAGGGCCGAGAAGCAGAGGGAAAAAGTCTAATCAACTAAATATGAGCAGGAAAAAAGTAAAAAAGGCACTGAGCTCAGTGAATACATTTCCAATGAAACATTTAACAAATGGTAATGAACAGTGAACATAAACCAGGAAATGTAATAGTTCACAACATAAAATCAAACCCCCTAACCTAATAGTAGAGTACAGTACAATAGAACAGTGAAATATACGGTAAAAAAAAAAGCAGAGATGGCAAAAGTACTCACTTTCTGTACTTGAGTAAAAGTACAGT